TATCTTTTATATACGACTATATGTTTGATTTTAGGGAGGATTTTGGAAAATGCGTCCAAAAATGACGCGTTCGATGGCATTTTTGGGCGCAGTTTCGATATCTCAGACGTCAATAATGCTTGAATGTAAGAGCGAGTCGGTTGGAAATTCTTACCAACTCTATCAATACTTCGAAACGATCGCATTTATGGTATAGTGAAAGGTATGCAGAGGTAATTTGTTTTTCCCTTAAGTCAATAAAGTTGATGATGATGGCATAGTGAAAACCATTAGAAACCAACTGTATTATTTATACTGCAACATAAGGATATTTTACAATTTCTTAAAGGTAAAAATGTAAAAATATATACCAGTTTCCGAGCCATTATGACGTATTTTACAGAAAGAAAGAAATTTTATTACAAGTAATTTTGAAAATAATAAAGTTCTCCTGAAATTAATTAAACTTTTGGTTTAAAAAAAATTGAGATATTGAGATAAACTATGTTATAGCCTATATTTTTAACATTATTACTGATAAATTTAATAATCATTTTAAAAATCTTTTTGTATTTTTTTAAATAAAATAATATATTCTACGCGTAGTTTTTACAGTTTTGGTAATTTTAAATGGGATTGTAAAATTGATAGGATTTGGCAATGCAAGATGTGGAGATCTGCCAAGGGAGAGGACTTTCTACGAGAATATGGCCCGTATTTAGGTATCAGACACGTGAATAAAACACAGAAAACTTTACACGGCTAGCCCGTTGGTGATGCGCGAACCCGTGATTAACTAGTTCTACTAATGTTTAGTGTTTTATTCATTCGGCTAATTTTATAGATTCACATACCAGTGGCCGAGCGAACATAACCATTGAACACTGGTCAATGGTTATGTTCAATGATGGTCGTGAGTTCGCACCCCATCAACGGGCTTGTTACATAGAGTTTTCTGGATTTTCTTCCTTTGTCTAACTTAAATAGAGCCAGTTTCCCATAGAAAGTCCTTCCGGGTGATAATCCCCTTGAACAGATCACCCATTTGTTGCGTTGCCTTATCCCATCAATTCTATAATAGACTCTTGACATTAACACTAAATCAAATCGACTAGGTAACTTTAATACTTAAAAACTAGCGAAAAAAATTATAATGTGATTTATAAATCCAATTTTAAGCTATTTACTTACGTCTGTCCTTTTCTAATTTTAACGCTGCCAGTCATTTAAATATAAAGCAATGAGCCCTTTCACGGCATAATTGACAAACCAAATTTAATTATATACATATGATTTTATTTATATAAATAATTATAATTAATTTAAATATAAATTTAGAAAAATTTTAAATAAACAGGTGTCATTATACGTAAGTTCTAATTGTAAATACGTAATAAATGAAAAATATAAACATTGTTTTACTTTATTAACCTATATTATGTTAATTAAAATTGAAATTTTATGTTATTGTAATTAAACTAAACATATTTATTGTTGGGTAAACGATTTTGTTTTTATATTAATCCACTTTAATCTTTGACAGTTTGAATTTTCTTAATGATTGATAGTAAACTAAGCTTTAAAAAAATAACAATAAAGTTATTTGAATATTTATCAGAAGAAAACTTTCTTACTTTTATTTCTATCTTACTTTTTTGTCTAGAATCGTGACTCAAAACGATATTTTTAAACTGCTAACAGGAATAATACGTAATAATGCAGCGTGGAAAGAGGATTTAAGGAAGTGCTCTCCAACTTCATCTGTCTTCGTTAACATGACAATTTAATATTTCAAAAACAGCTATCTTAGTCTCAAGAACTCCAATCGATACGAGATAAGTAAAGTTTGTAGAAGTTCAAGTGCCTGAGAATAGAAGGAAATAATTAATACCGACTACCACTTAAAAATTTCGACAAGTTTTACCACTTCATTTTACGAAGATAGGAGTTAAATTATGCAATTAACATTCGCTTGTTCAATATATGTATAAAAGATAAATAAATAATAAAATCAAGAGAAAAAACATTATTGTGACATCTATGCTGCAATTTTTAATCATATTTTTAATTTATTTAATTTAAAATATATGCTATCCACTTCAAATTAGTAGTGTCTTGCCCCTGTACATCATACTTTTCCTGACAACAACTATGTAACTCCATTCTAGAAAAAAATTTTGAATTGAAATTACCTGACTTCCGGTTTATATCGGAAGTTCGTATAAAGTTAATCGGGCTTCCTTCCCCTAAACTTTCCATATCCGGTCTCAGATTTCATCTATCTAACACCGTTCTCGAGATTAAAGAAGGCGAGACGGACGGACGGACGACAGTAGGAATTCATAGATATACAATTTTTTAAAAATTGCAGAAAAATGACGGGCAGACAGAAAGAAATTTCTATAGAAGAGAGAGAGAGAAAGAGAGACATTTACTAAATAAATAAATTTTCTAAAAGGGATAAAAATATAATGGAAAACAAAACGCATTAAATAACGGAAATTGCATGTTGGCGAGAAACTTCTTAAGAAAAATCGTTTATTTAAGAAAAGAATTTCATCATACAAGAATATTATCGAGCAATATAAGAAATGAGTTTGATTACAACAGAGGAAAAAAAAAATAGAAAAAAAATAAAGTGTGGAGTATAAAAACATCGATTTACATTATTAAATTCTTTTAATTTTACCGAATAAATTCTTTCTGTTTTTAATGTTTACAAATACAGACAGAAAGTCTCTACATTTATCAATAATTGTTTTGGTAAAGTTTCTTTAAAATCCATTCATTAACACTATTCTACCGATGCGTTTTTTGTTTATTTTTCTGTCCTCTTCTAATGAGGTACATTGAAGATTCAAGAATTCTTTAAAAGATTTGTTAAAAAATAATTTTATTTAATGATTATTTAAAAAGTTGAGAGTATAGTAAACTTGCATTTCGTGTAAATTGTTTACATTAATTTTTATATAAACAATTTACATGTTTACTGTACTTTTGATGCACGTTAAACACGAATATGCCCAGTAACTATATGTTAGAATGGATCTTGTTTCACCCAAAAATAATTTTAATTTTTTTCTGTGATGATCCGATATAGAAATTTCAGGTTGGAGACGGAGTTAACAAAGAAAAATTGATATAAATTATGTAAAAACTGTAAAAATTCGTATAATATATGTAAATAATGATAGAGATGAGAAGATTTTACACATAAAAATAAAAAATTTATAATAAATTTTTTTACTGTAGTTACAATAATTTCACTGTTTACACACCAAATCAGATATTTTAAAGTGTAAAGAACTTTTCAGATAATATATTTAATGAATAATGTTTAAAAAAAATAACGTTTGTTCTGTTAGTTCATTCTCTACAATAAATAAATAATAACCTTACTAAAATTTCTCATAAATTATTAAAATACTGAGAACGAATATATTTTTTACAAGTGCCACGAAGTAATCATTAAAGCTATCGCAGTTTCCATTAGTTATTGGCATCTAAGTTTTCAGATATGAAGCATCTTAACAGATGTTATATATTTCTTATGGCTTTTTTCCCCCTTTCTGATATCATTAAAGTTTTATTTTTGCACATTTAACGATAAAATAACACGATCACAAGCTGACGTTAGAAGAACATTAAATATTTTTCGTATCAATCCATCATTTAGATTAACTTTCTGCTTGAAAAGTATATACTTTTCGACTTGTCATTGTGACTAAACTTTCTTTTCTTCTATTGATCTGGAAAATGTTAGCAAGTTGTATGCATTATTTATGTTTACTGTCTTCAGTAAATATCAGAAATTGAATGAATAATCGAAGATTTCATACATCTTCCATCATCAACTTAAAAAAACATTTTTAAATACTTATCGACGATTAATCTTATTTGTTTTTAATTTAATTAAGTCAAAGAAAAATAAATTAGAAAATAAAATATTTAAAACTTTTTTAAAGTATAATAATAATTCTTATTACAACTTTACCGTAGAATGAAAAATTAATTAGTGTAAATTAATATAAAATACCTATAAAAATTATTCATTATCTGTTAAATATTTTATCTAAAATCTTTAAGATATTTATAAGAAAACAGATTAAGAGTTTGGCTCAACAGATTTTTTTTTAAAATAGGATCAAACATCATGCAGCTGTAAATTATGCATTTGGCTCACAATAATGCAAGCTTAGTAGGAATTTAAATGAGGCAATTACAAAATCCTTTAATTCTTTAATTGAATTTGCACACGTTATTTAAATTTAATAGGATAAAACCAAGTTCAAAATTATAATTATTTTTAAAAATCTGACATTTTTTCCCCTCAATTGTATTTCAACGATAAAATAATTTACAAAGCTCCACAGAAATGATATATTAAGTTATATTTTTTTGTACGAGATTATTCTATTTATATTAGTTTTTGATCAGCTTCTCTATGATTTCTATTCAAATAGAAAGTTAAAAGTAAATGTCATTTTCCAATTATTTGATTAATAAAACATCAACGTAAACCAATTTAAAATGAATAAAAGTTGTTAAATTTTCATATTTTTCTGCATTTTATCAATTTATTTTATGCAAAACTTGACTATTTAATAGGTAAATTAGTCATATTTACCAATATAAGTCTAGCAAACAAAGATTTTCATATCCTTTTGCGCTAATCAATTAAGAAGTGAAGCAATAAAATGTAATTTTCCATTAAAGATAATGGAAGATGTTTAAATCTTGTTTGTCCATTAACAAAAGATAGGTAAATTGTTTTATCCTTTGATAGAAACAACTGAAGAAACTGCGCTTATGGTTAATATTTAAATTATTATTATTATTTTCGAATTGATAAATTTCGTATCGAAAGTTGACGACGTGAGAAATGTTCTTGGTGGACTTGAAATTTCGGAAAGTAAGCTAAATGGTGGATGGTCGATGACAGACGTTGCCAGTAGCAACAGAATCTCCTCTATCATGACGTCATTGTATGTCGTCCAATGACTAGGCAATTTCTAAGCATGGAAGAAAGGTGTGTTGACATTATTTAGTTGGCTTTCCAACAGTTCGGTAAAAGGCAGAGAAGGCGTCATCACGAAACATGAGCTGTCTTCAGACATGGATTTAGAAAATTTACATTATGCAGATGAAACGGAAGATCCATACGAGGTGGTCCTGCTGCCAGAAAATATACCGTCTGAGAATCGTCTCTCACCTTGTCACGCTGTCCATCTACCCACAGGTAAGAATTATAAAGTTTTTCTTATTCGATTATTTTTTTCTATTACGTTTAAATTAAAAAAAAATCAACCGAAAATTAATTTTTAAACTATAGATTAGAAAATTTTCCACAGTTTTAAGTATAAAACTATACGAATTCTAAGTTGTTTAGGGCACAAACAGACGAAATTTATAAACCAAAATAGAAAAAAATAATAATAATTCGAGAATTTTAAAGGTAATAAAACCTACAACAATCTTATATTCGGTCGTAAAATCTTAGCAGAAAATAAAATCGAATCTTTGGCCATATCATAAAAATGTAGACATCAAAAAGTGAATTGAAGAATAAGTTCAACGGCATAAAATTTTTAGAAACTGCCCTTTCAACGTGTTTAAATTCAAAATTCTATCTACTATTCAATTTTATAAAAAATTCGATCAAGTGTACAGCTTAAGTAATTCAAGTTATCTCTACCTTAAGTAAGATTTTTAATACTAGAAACGATTTTTCTAGCATTTTCTAGCACCTTTGCCATTTTCGAAATAATAGAAAATTTAATATAAATTTAATTAGACAGAATTAAAGTATCTAAAGGTTGTAACAAATTAAAGAAAAGACCAAATTAAGAACTGACAAAGAAAACGTTGCCAAGGAAAACCGCATCTCTACACGGTTTAATTGAGTAAAACCGGTTAATTTATAAATAAATGAACTTTAAACATGACAAAAAATATTAATTAAAACGTTAATAAAAATATAAATGTGTAGAGACAAGGAAAAAAATGATTTATTTTTGAAGTATTTGTGTTTAGATGATGAGAACGGCACGCATGTTGCATACATTATACAAAGATGGAGCAAGGGGAGGAAGGAAAAAAAGATACACGAGAGAGAATAAATATTTGAGAGATTTTCAAGATGTAGTAGTACAGTTTTTATTAGAAGAACCGCTAGAATGAAAAGCTACTTTATCAATTTACTCGAAGAATATTGAATGACAAACTAAAATTCACAAATATTTCGAAAAAAAATTTATTTATTTTTATTTTTTCCCCCCTAAATTTATATTATACGTATACATACACAAGTAGAATATTAAACATTGAAACTAAAATATTGAATCTGAAATATAAGTAGAATTTTTTTTATTTACACGAAGAAATTATATTTGAATTAGCGATTAAAATGCTAGTTTTAATTATTAAATTAAATATAAATTACGTTTATTTAAGTATTAGTTTAGTAAGTAGATAATTATGTTAGGTTTTTAAGAGATAACGACATCGTCACAATGCCTGGTAGCAATTTTTAATCATTCTCTTGTATGCTCTCCATCTCAAATTAGTAATGTCTTGCCACTGTACATCATACTTTTCCTGATAACAACAGAGTCATGCCGGTCATCTATGTAACTCTGTTGTGGAAAAATTTTGAATTGAAATCACGTGACTTCCGATTTATATCGGAATTTCGTCCCCTATAAGATCACCCCCTATAAGTCGACCCCTCTATAAGATCATTGATTTTTCCGTTTTATCTGAATTACATGTTGTACGAGTCACTTAGATTTTACAAATATGTATGCCGGGCTGTGAACGGCTCACATATTTGTAAAATCTAAGTGACTCGTACAACATGTAATTCAGATAAAACGGAAAAATCAATGATCTTATAGGGGGGTCGACTGTAGTTAGTCGGGACCTCTTTCCCTTATCTTACCCATATTTATTCTCGGCTTTCATCTATATAACTCCGTTTTCGTAAGGAAGGAAAGACAGTGAAAATTTATAGATCCACATTTTTTTTTTAAATTGCAACCAAAAAAACTATATTTAACATACGAAAAGTGTAGGAGAGACAAAGGATTTCGTGTGTAATTCTATGATTTCTCATTTGTCGAGTAAAGACAATGCTGTTTTAAATTTGAATCGAGCTTTATACTTTAACCATTGTTCATATTCTATGAATGACTTAACTATTGAAACTTGGATAATTCCAAATTTTACTTGATCTTATTTAACAGAACAATCGACAGCTTCACAATTGTCATTTAATTAGCATTAATTAAGCTTGACAACACATTGACTACCTTCTTTTTGTTTTTTTTTTAACTGGGATAAATGTAATTTTACAACAATGCGCAAAGTCTCTTGGTTACAACATAAAATCAAAATATAATATAAACTTAAAATTAAAAAAATTAAATATTAAAATTAATTTTCTTTAAATACACAAAAGAAAAATAAATAAAAAAATAAATTGATAATCCGATTATGTTAAAATGTTATAATTCAATTAATATCGTAAATTATAATAAAAAATTTTTTTTATTGTTTAATTATGTTTTTTTAATTATTTAAATCAGATTATACATTAATTAAATTACATAATTAATCTTATTTAATACTTTATTATTTTTAAAAAATATTACTGAATTGAATT